ATAGTTTCTTTAAAACTAAATCCATTCGAACTAAGAGAACCATTGATATAAATTTTCTTATGTCAAGGGTTTATCAATTCACTATGTTTGAGACAATTGTTTCTTGGGGTTGGTTGGACTTATTTAGTATATCACCTAAGGTGAACCCAAATCTTGTTAGTGCATTATTTTACAATACAATTCTTATCCATGAAGAGAATGATATTAACAAGTTTATTGGGATTGAGTCATATCTTATAAGAAAAACTTTTACTCTTAGTCCCTTATCCAAAACTAGCTTTCTAAATATTAAAAATGATGATCTCTTCAAGGACAATCAAAATATAGATATGGATAGGTTCCCCAATGATAGCCTTATTTCCCTAAAGTTCCCCGATCGTCCCCTTTTGCTTATCATTACATGATTTTTCTCCGATGGTAAAGTTACCAATATACGTGTATGTGACTATTGGTGGTTTTATCATGTCAAACATCAAATTCATCACTTTGTGATGGTTATGTTTCTCAAGCTTGTTGATGTAGTCTTTAAAGGAGTTAATTATACTAAAACTCTTCCATATGGTTATATCTTTAGTTTTATCTTTAGGGGTAAACTTAGATTCTCTACTTCTTTTGACTCTTCCATTTCTCTCCTTAGTGTCATATATCTCAATCGGCTCACAAGGGCAATTGATATTTTTTTATAAGTATTCCACTAAATGGGGTCCCTATAGAAGACAACAATTGAATGATGTTGAGGAAGAATACAACGTATTAAAATAACCTCACATGCCACCACCTCAAGAGGAGATCACTATGAAGATCATGTATGACTACATAGTTCAAAACTTTGGGAACTTGTGCTTTTGCATTATGACTTGGAGTTTTATGCACTTTATAACACTTCATATTATTATTTATGTTTGATATTTTTTTATGTTTGGTACTTTTTATTTGAAATACTTTTGTTGATAATATTATGCTTATGAACTTTATTATCTTATGTTAACCATAATTTCATTTTCTCTTAAAATGTTGAATATTCGATTCTCTATTGCACTAACATATTTTGTAATGCCTCAAATCTCGGGTTAAGGCCTCAGAACAAACCTATTAACTTGTAAGAAAACCATGACCTAAGTTGGATGGTTTTGGGCCTAGTTGAGCCCAACATGAGTTTAAAAAGAGGACACATTTATGACGGAGTTAAGACTTGGGAGACCAAAGCAATAACTTGCCCATAAACTTTCTCAAAAGGTGAGTTCCTTTAATGTGGGATGATGTCAATGTGAAAAAAAGCTTTGTTTCTTTTTCTCCACCATTGTCTTCTTCCTTTATCTTTCTCTCATTCTTCCTTCCTCATGTAATCTTAAAAGGTGATAACTCGGTGGTCTTGCAACCCTAGTTTGTTATTTTAAAGGTAAGAATTTTAATTTTCACCTTCAGAGCTTCAAATCAAGCCTTCAACCTTTTCATTTCACCATGGTAGCGAAATATGAGTTTTGTGAGGGGTTGTGGAACTTAAGGGTTTTAATCCATTTTTAGAGAGTTTAAGCCTTAATAAGTGTTCTTGAACCCTTCTTAACCTCTAGATCAAGCTAGTAACTCAAGTGTTTGATTATTGTCTAGTGATGGAAGTTTGCGAAAGCTCCAAAATTAAATGGAATGAAAAGCTAACACTTGGTTGAGTCTTGGACACTTTCATCAACTTAGGAATTCAAGGTAACTCCCTTCTAACTCAACTCTACTACATTTTAGATCACTAAGTGAGTTTGTTTTCTTGCAAGAGGCATAAAGTATGTTCATGGTAGATTTCAGTGTTTTGGGTGTTTTTAGCATGTTTACAGACTTATTATGACCCCTATTATCAGACATAACACTCTAGAGACCTCAGTAGAACGTTTGAGAGTGTTGGAGAGGCATTTTCGTCCCTAAAATAGGGTATTTCTAGGCTCAAGTATCAGTATTAGAAGAAGAATACCAATATTGTTATTTAGATGTTAAAAACAAAGAGATTTTGGGATAGAATTATCAATACTCATACAATGGGTATCGATGTTGTAGGTGAGGTATTGATACTCGCAGGGTGATATTGATACCAAGTTCACTTAGTAGATTCCAGTAGTCATTTTTGGTATTTGTTCTTATGGGGGTATTGATACCAATGGTAGAGTATCGATACTCCCCAACAGGGGTTTCAATACTTAGGTATTTTTCAAAACATTGAAGTCAATCCTGGTCAATACTCAGGAAAGTATCGATACGACAAACCAGAAGTATCGATACTCAAGCTATAATATCGATACCAACCCTTTGTTATAAGTCAATAGTACCAATACCCAGAGGTTAGTACTAATACTCAGAGGCTAAGTATCGGTACCCATGAAAAATTTTGGATATCAAACCCAAAGATTTTAAGGGACAATTTTGAGGGACCCAATTACACCAGAATACCATGAAATAAAACTACAAGTGATAACAGTAATAAACTCAGAACAACTAAACACAATAACAACCATAATGACATAAAACTAGCTCTGTTTGAAGCTCGGGACATAGTTAGAACACCCGAGTTACTTTAGTAGATACAATCATATAGTTGGATATCCCAGTCAATTCCAAGGCACTTCAGTTTTCTGCTGGGCATAGATTCCCCAAGATTCGATGAAGTAAGTTGGTCGGGTGTACGTTTCTGATGCAGTTTCAGATCTCACCCCAGATACCCAAGGGTATATAGGAAGGCTAGAGAGGTGTGTGATCTTCGAGATGCAGAACCATCAGCCACACCATGATGCCTACCTCATCATATCATATTAGTATCCTATGTCTTTATACCTATGCCTCTAGCATGCACAATTAGTGAATGCATGTAGTATAGTATAATTATTAGTGAGACACTAAGTTTGTAAGCTCCGCATTTAGAATGTGGTTTCATACGCAGGTTCTTAGGAGGTTATCTGTGGAGCGTTATCGTCACCAGATATTCCAGCTCAGTAAAGATCTTCAGAGTATGTCTTGATTTATGATAGAGGGCATGTACTATTATAGACCCTTTTTGTATTCAGCCATAACTCTATTTTGGTTTAAACTCAATGTATTTATTTGGATGTTTTGGGAGCTCCCTTTATTTTGTAAACTTGATTATTATGTTTATTTCATTTTCTTTGAATGAATTTTTATATGGTGTTTTACAGTTTCTTTAAATGAAAGTTTTTGGGTTAGACACTTCGGTGGTTTCGTGTGACATATTAATCCATGGATCTTCGGGTCGGACTAGATTAGGGTGTTATATATTTTCTCTTTTGAAGCTTAATTTGTTTTTTTAATAACAAAAATAAGGAGAAATATATGTAAGTGTAAATTTGCTTCTAGCCAAAAAGATTTTGATATATTAAAAAGAGAAGATTGTTGAACCAACATTCGATTTTGATATAATATGAATTGTTAAATGATTTATATTGTCAAAATTTGCATTTTATAGTTCTATGAAAAATTTTCATAAAATATTTTCAAGTGATTTTTAATCGTGAAAAATAATCTCAAGTATTATTAAGTTTTTATATAATTTATAAATATTTTTAAAGCTTAAAAAATACTTGATTTCATCAAAAATCTCCTCTCAATCACGAGACCAGCAAGCCAATATCGATACCCCGTTTTTCAGTGTACATTTTAGTATCGATAAAAAAGGTGCTAGTATTAATATCGATAAAGGAATATTGATACTCACTAAAATGGTATCGATACCGATGACTTCAACAACTATATTTTTTACTGTTGGGATGTTTGATCTCTATACCCACTACCCGAGATTGATACCAAAATTGCAGGAGAGCATTTAATGCTCAAAATTAATGATTCCAACAACTCTACTCAACTACAAACGTCTACAAACAGTTAGGAGAGTATTAGAAGACAAAAAAGGGAACGAGATTCACATGGAGAACAATAAGAAATATTATTGAAAGATCATATCAACATCATAAGACTTTTTTTACTTAATTTTGTCATATTCTTATAACACACTTATGGGCTTTATTGTTCAATGGGTAAAGTGCGCGTTTAATACCTAAATTATCAGTTTTAGTCCATTTTAATACCTAAATTTTCAATTTTTTCAAAACCATACATAAAGTTTAATTTTTGTTATATTATAGTACCCGTTCAAAATTTAATGTTAAATTTAAAAATAAATTAAAAGTTTGGGTACTAAAACGGACTAAAAATGATAGTTTAGGTACTAAACGCGTTAAGTTTTTAACGGTAGGGTACTAAAATGAAACAAAAACTAAACATGTGTTTGTATTTGTGAGGTTTTATTTTGTTTGCTAAATTTGTATTTACTCTTTGGGAAAGTATGTATTCAAGGTTTTAGGTATACCTTGAAGTTTTCTAAGGTTACACTCTGTTCTTAAAGGTAAGTAAATCTAGTGAATTTAAGAAATCCTTAGTGTAGATATTAAGGTAGTGGATGAAGAGTTTCGTTGATAAAGTCAAACCACTCTAAATATTTATGCAAAAGTTCTATTTTCGATTACTTCCACCATAATTTTTAAAATGTCAATTCACCATCTTCTTGGCATATTTCAATTGTTCGTAAAAACTAACAAATAACATTTGTCATATCACTAAAATAATGATATAACATATGTCACATTACTAATTAAACATATGTTAAAATAACACGTCAATAACATATGTTAAATTAGTCAACGATTTCCACCTAATGGAGGCTATTTTGACTAAAAATCGAAAAATTGAGGGTTAAAATGCTTCAAAAAGAAATAAGGACAAAGTGACCATTTGTGCAAACTTTAGGACTAATTTTATGTTATGCCTTGTTTTGTGGTGGTGGGTAAGGCTCCTCCCCTTGATTGTTTTGTTCAGAAAAGCTATTCTCATGGCAATAGTTTTTGATATCACCAAGTTGAATTCTTCGGTGCACTGTTACATGTTGATGGCTAGAACAATAATAAACTATAAAATACCGTAGATATTTTCATGTGGCTGAATAAACAAATCAATGGAATGGAATTATTTACAACTTTGAATCTGCCCATTCTGAGAATTCCAGACCAGATTCTGACAGTTTTCACTGGAAACTTGACATACACGGCTGCCTACAGTAATAATAGATGCATGCTAGAAATATGAAATATTCTAAGGACCAACAACTGTATCTGCGATGAACAAATGATAGTAATCTGAAGTAGCTGATGTAGGGAATAAAACCCGAAAAAAAGGTTGGAACTCGGAAACAAACAATTAGAGTACAAGAACTCACCATGGATATCAACATTGATTACCATGATCTTGATTGAATACTATTACTAGAAAAAAGTACTAGAGTTCTATTGCTTCCTTTGTATCCTGCAAAAAGAGCTCGGTTTACGCAAATACAGACAGCATAAAGTTGATGCAAGCAAATTATGAATGGTTCCTCTTACCTATCGAGAAATCAGAGCATTTAGGTGCCTATAGTTATCTTCACTATCATTGAAGATGGCACTATAAAATACATATGGATTGTCAATCATCTCGACTAAGCTTAAGCGGCCATCTTTATCCAAATCTGCCTGTGATTAAGATTAACAAAGTCTTCAATGATAGAGCTTAGTTTAATCCTTGGGCTTCAGAGGAGGGGGTAAAAACTACTAGGCCAAGCCTTGGTTGAGAATGATGTCAAACTTGGAATTTTCATTTAATAGTCGTCGAAAACATTGCAGCAACTATGACTAGCAAGAAAATAACTTCCTTAAGCAAGAATATTTAATCTAATACAAAAAACCATAATAAAAGGAGAAGTCAATAATGGTAGTAACCGAGTTATCATCTGTAACACATTCGCATACATAGTATGTAAAGAGATTGCCTTGGAAAATGGGGTTTGGCTACCCTCCATTACTTTTTTGTACATTATTATCGATTTCATAAAGGGGAGCCCAAAACCTTTTGAATTCGTTAGAGATAGGCATAGATATCTTTTTAGAGTTTTGATAAACGTTCTGGTTAGCTTTTATTATCCCATACATGATACATCTCTTTAAGTAAAGATTACAATAATTAAATAAAGTACATCAAACTAAATAGTCACTATTCTAAGAGTCGTAAAACTTCGTTTATTATAAGAGTGCTACCTAATTTCTCCCAAGACCTAAGAGGCTTACGTCCACCCTACGTTCATAATGGTTTCCTTTACAAGTACAAATGCAGAGCCGGCATGGTCTAAATGCAATAAATTAATAATAAAATGGAACATTAGAGAAGTTATGCATACATCCATGCATAGTAATGCTAAATTATCTAGTGTCATAAATACCTGTGATATGATGTAATCTGCTTGTAGTTTTGCATAGTACCGTTCAGATGGATGAAGTTTCCCAATGATTGGTAGTAGCTCTTCATCTGTCAAGAATCTGTTAAACCACTGGAAATTTATTTAACCATCCAAACAAGTTCCCAATTCAAACACGATACATAAAACTAAAAGTTCATACAAGCACCTGTCACCATCTTTATCAAGCTGGCTAAACAACCGTTTAGCTGGGGTCTCTGTCTCCATTGAATCATGACCTTCTTCATCATGGCTTATTACAAAGTCAAAAATACCATGAAAAAATTCATTGAAGTTAACCTTCCCATCTTTGTCTTCATCTCTTTCCCTATAGGAGAAAAAAAAAGGCAAACTTTAAACACAATAATTGAAAAAACAGATCAAATGAAAATGAGATAATATATCCAAGAACAAGAAACTGTTTTTCTTATTTCTTGAATTCAGAATTAGGGGTGTAAATGAGACACCTATGCTTGCAAGCTATTCAAGTTCGATCGGAAAAACTCAAATTTGAGTCGGTAATCATTGAGCCGGGCTTGAACAGCTCTAGTTATTGGTCGAGCCAAATTCAAGCACCATAATAATAATACCCGGCTCGTGCGGCTGGCGAGCGTTATCAAACTTTTCAATCTTTATATTATTAAACTGCATTTCTACCCTTACAATATATATTATTGAATATGAGCGAGGTTAATCAAGCTTGAATTTGAGCTTTAGTACAAAAATTGATAAACGAGTTTAATCGAGATCGAGCTCGGGTAGCATTATTATATCTCAAACTGCGCCCAAGTTTGGGAATTGATGTTCGACTGAGCTCAAGCTGAGTATCGAGCCCCGAGCTCTGAATCGAGCTTGAGCCACTATTCGGGCTCGGCTCGGTTACACCCGTGCTCGGAATATATAATTTAAGCATGACTTGGTTTTTTATAATGGGACAAATATATAATTTTTCATGGGGAAAAGGAAAAGGAATAAAACTTAGGTCACCTTACTTCCTCCTGGCATAACCATCGAAGCAGCTTTGGGTTTTTGCTGTCAGCCGGGTGCATAAAACTAGGAAAATATCAAGCGGAAAATTTAGGGGAGAGTAATAGAATCAATTGAAAATAACCACCTTCCCTGGGAGAATATTAGTTGAAACTTACTCATTGAACTCGGTTAACTTTAATAAACGATCACCATCAGCATCTGAGGCATTAAAATGATCCTCTGTCCACCAGCCCATATTGTGGCCAAAAGATGGGTTGTCTATAGAAAGAAGCAAAAATAAGGTAACACCTCTAATTATCACTACGAGGTAAATTAAGCAGAAATCAATTGCCATATCCAAGTTTTGTACTAGAAGTCCAAAGAATATATCATGCATGATTGTTGTTTTGTTTTAATGTCATTAATCACTCTCTTTCAAAAAAAATTGAAACCCACTTCAAAAGATCACAGATTCGTCAAAAGAAAGAAAAAAGCAAGCACGAAGGATTAGTTCCACAACATGATATCTATAATTTAGTAACATAATGGTATAGACAACAGACCATTCTTCACCCAACTGGGAGCCTCATACTCGGCATATGAAATTAACCCATCTTTGTTTCTGTCATGAACTTCCATCTCCCTCAAACTCCTGAACAACACTTCCTTCGTAGCCTGCTGCAGATGCCACTCAATCAATTCATTCTCAGTCACAAAACCATCTGATGGGTCTACATCAATCTTGGGGAACAGCAATACCAACCTGTTTCATTACATTAAACCTCCATTCAATCAACATCGTCCAAAATGCTACTGCCCATCATGCTTATTTCCAACAAATCATCACAAAGTATATTCATTCTAGAAGACATTCACAAACGAATTAAGCAAACTAACATCTCAATAATTTTCAAGAATGAAGACGCCTAGCATTGATACTCATTCGAATAGGCAATTAGAAAGAATTATAATGAAGCCACCTAACATGCTTTTTGTAAAACATATGAACCCTTAACTAAAATTGATAATCTAAGTGATGAAGACACCTAGCACATAATTTTTTTAATAGTATGAGTAATTACAAGGTAGTATTTATTCATAATTTTTCTTAATCATTAACGTAGGGTAATTAATCAAACTCGAGTCCTCTAAAACAACACTCTCTTCTAACACTGAGACCACTAAATTGCACATATTTAGTATCATTGATAATCTAAGTAGAACACTTTTCACCAGAATTGGCACTAAAATATTAACTAAAACTGCAAAATTTAACCCCTCGAGTAAGCAATAAAAGTAGTAACGTCAATTTTAGAATCAAATGCAATACCACCAACCTATTAGTTACGTTAAACTTGTCCCCATCATTCAAGTAATCTTCGGCATTCAAGAAATCATCCAACTCGGGCTGCGATTCTTCAGCGGGAGCGGGGTGCTGCAAGAACTCTGGATTGGAATGCTCCAAGTACTGCTTCTCCCATTGGTTGTCTTCACGGCGGCGCTCGATCTCGGCGACGAGGGGATCGAAAGCAACGGGATCGTGATGGGCGGAGGAATAGCGGAGCTTGAGGCGGCGGTGGTGGTTGCGGGTGGAGTGTTTCTTAGGGGAATAAGAGATGAGATAGAGGATTAGAACGGCCAATGTAACGTATTCCATGACTGAATCTTTTCCAATTGTCTGGGACTGGAGAGTAAACGAAAGTTAATATTGAGAATTGTGAAGGAGAAGATCAATTGCTATGAATTATGAATTATGCGAAATTTGGTTTTTACAAACAATAACATATCTAATCTGATGAAAAATGCAGAAAATGAAGATAAAGTTTGGTGTGGTTGTGGACATTTGAACTCCTACTTTAATTTGTATTTATTTTTCTTAAAGAACATAACAACATAAAAAAATAATCATTTTCAATATATATTATAATGAAATAATATATATATATATATATAATAAAAAGAGAAATATGTATTATTTTTTAATATAAATTTTATATAATATTTTTTTCTAAACTCTATATTTATAAACATAAGAAATAAATATTTTATAGAACATTAATTCTATTGAATAGTAAAATTTTAATAATGAAGTACATTAAAGTATTACTTAATACATAGAGTTCTTGTAACACCTAGACCAGTACCCGATCCGAATACGAGCTCGAGATGTTACATTGACTTTTAAAACGATATTCTTATAAAATATCAAAACATTTGAACTTGTTTTAAGAAAATACAATAATATTCTATTAAAATTATACTTCATTATAAAATCTGAAAAAAATACGTATCTATGAACAGTACTATATGGTATGTACAGTACCGTGAACAGTAATGAACAATACCGTGAACAGTGCCATGAACAGTGAAAAATTTCGAATATCAATTGTGTATCAATGCATTGATGCACTGCTATAGTACTGCTGCAGTAACTTCGGCAAAATACGTAAAAATTCATAAAAATCCGAGTTTTCATTTGTATAAAATTTCCATTTACATATACACATTTAAAACATTGCAAAACTCTATCATATGATTTTACAAACCGATTAGAACATATCGGATTTAAACCGTTACTTACATGCCAACCACTATCCTTATTACAAAATACATACTGTACATTTCTTTTCTGATCTGATCTTTGGAAATGAGAACTGACCTGTCTTGCATAACTTTTATCAATCTTCCTCTTCTCGAAACCTACGTGTAAAACAATCACACGCTAAGTCGTTGACTTAATGAGGCATATAAAACATATAATATAACCATATAACATTTCATATAAACAAAATACATATATCTACAAATACTATCGTTAATCCCTTTTACTTATCATATACACATCATATAACACATATATCACTACACTAAGGAACAACATATCATCATGTAATTTCTATAACCTATTTCATATTACCAAACATACATATCACATATAGTGTATTTGTCATTATCTCTTTAAAGCTCATGTATTAGCCCACGTATACTTTTGAAAACTTAAGGTATGTGAGTACATTGAGGTTGTGCACTATTGTGCTGTCATCACAGCTCATATAAATGTCCCAAAAGACCTATCCAGAGGTCATAAAGAACCTCGACAACTGTCCATAGGTCCCGAAGAACCTAGGTAAACTGTTCATATATTCCTTAGAACATAGGAATATTGTCCATATGTCCCGAAAGACATAGGTAATTATGTCCATATGTCCCAAAAGACATAGGTAATTCTGTCCATATGTCCTGAAAGACATAGGTAATTTTGTCCATATGTCCCGTAGAACATAGGTAAACCTCGACTCTTGGCATGCCAACTATACCACTAGCTCTCATATTACATAACATGTGCATTATCATTTATGACAGTTCACATAATCACATCACTTATTCTTTCTCTTCTGTCACATACCACATATATGTGTAACCATATGTTCCATATCATCTCACATGTATCACGTATTGCATATTCATATGTCACATAGTTCATATCACTTTGCATGGAATCACGTAGGTTGTTTCATATATCTTATTTTATTTCTCCTTTGTTCATATACATATGTCATATCTTATTCACATATGTTCATATATACATCACATAGCACATAGAATAACATATAAACTTATACATAAATCATTTCCATGTGATTCACATATCACATATCTCATTGTTTATATCTCTTAAGCACTTAATCACTTATCTTATAATTTCATATAGTCACTTATCACTTATCACATGGTTTACATCTTATGATCATGTAATCATATCAAGCATATTCGCACACATAAGAATCACCTATTATATCTCATAGATATATCATTTCCATACCGTTATCACATAGCTCATATAACTTTTCCTGCATATTCATGTCACATAATGTATATGGTATGAACTCATATCATGTTTCATAATATGAAATGAATCATATATCAAAGTATCAAATCTAGACTTATCATAAGTCTAGAACTGAATATACTACTATAATAATGCTATGCATATGCTCTCACCTTAGTCTTGCTTTGATTCGATCCTAATTATTTGATTGTTCCGAAACTTGTTTAGGCTCAATATCTTTGCTTGTATGCTCCACGGTGGAGAAGAGAAGAAGATGAAAGAATTGTGTGGAATCACAATGGATTCCACGTGGGTTTCCCTTATATTATAAGGGAAATAAAAATCTTTCATGTCAAATGACCATTTTGCCCTTTAATTATTTTAATAATTACTAACAACGTTCAGGAAATATCTCCACATAAATCATTGAACTGTTCAAATATTCTACTTTTATCACCCAATTATGAAATTTTATAATTTAGTCACTAACCCGGTATTGAGGATGTTACAAATCTCCCCTCCTTTTAAGAAAATTCGTCCTCGAATTTTCATTGCACACATTGATAAGAACATATCTTTTAATGTTCTTATATTGTCTCCTTTACTTACTTAATCTTTGTTGTCATCATCAGAAAACTTACTTTTCAATCCTTTAGCTTTACTCAACCATAAAAATCTTTGTTTCCTTCACTATATCACATTCATATGATCAACACATTTTTCATCATGTAATCTTGTTAGCCAATGCTAACTCTTTCTTCTAAAATACAAACCCTTATCATATCTACACTCTTGCTTATACACAGTACTATCCCTTTGTATAATTTATAACTCTGATTTCATTCATCTTATAAACATATCACTGATGCACTTATTCTCGAACTATTCTATAAATAATAACCATGTCATTTGATCTTTGAACATTCTTATGGTGACATTTGTCCACCATACTCTAGCTTGCTCACGTAGTAACGAAACTACTCAATTTAATTTCTCCACTTTGGAGAAATGAACACCTTCTATCATTATCTTCATATCATTTATCCAAAGGTCTATAACAATAGAACATTTCTCAAATTTTACCCTTGAACTCGGGTGTTCTTAACTCTTTTAACTATTTCGATACATCAAGTCTATGAGTTAAAGAAGCATACGATTGAAACATATCACGATATTATTCAACATCATAAAGACATTGCCTAATCTTGTACAGGTACTCCCTGAGGTTTTCGCTCTTCTCCCTGCCTGGCCAGGGCAGGTGAATGCTATTACCTTCAAGTCTATCACCTTGTGTTTCACTTTGGAAGCTCTCATATATTCATGTGCTCACATGATTTCTTCTATAACATATCACGTGTGCAATGATCATCCAATTCATATCATATAACATATGTCATTTGCATATGTTCACATATCATCTATCATATCATATAAACATATATATCTCATAAATCATTCTCAGGTATTCACTTATCTTATATAACATAACAATTTAACTCTATTAACAAGACAACACACTCTTTACCCTATCAGATCAGAAAATTTTCCACTTTGTGTTGGCATGTATACTTTTTAAAACACTTTTAACTTCGTTTTTAGCCTAGAATCGGCTAAAGCGTAGCTCTGATACCATTAAATTTAACACCCCAACCCGTACCCGACTCGAATACGAGTCCGAGATGTCACATTGACTTTTAAAACGATATTCTTATAAAATATCAAAATATTTAAACTTGTTTTAATAAAATACAATAATATTATTAAAATTATACTTCATTATAAAATCTGAAAAATATGTATCTATGAACAGTATTATACGGTATGTACAGTACCGTGAACAATAATGAACAGTACTGTGAACAGTGAAAACTTTGAATATCAATCGTGTATCGATGCACTGCTACAGTACTTCGGCAAAATACGTAAAAATTCATAAAAATCTGAGTTTTCATTCGTATACAATTTCTATTTACATATACACATTTAAAACATTGCAAAACTCTATCATATGATTTTACAAACCGATTAGAACATATCGGATTTAAACCGTTACTTACATGGCAACCATTATCCTTATTACAAAATGCATACTGTACATTTCTTTTCTGATCTGATCTTTGGAAAGGAGAATTGACCTGTCTTGTATAACTTTTATCAATCTTTCTCTTCTTCATATACACATATATCACTACACTAAGGAACAACATATCATCATGTAATTTCTATAACCTATTTCATATTACCAAACATACATATCACATATAATGTATTTTTCATTATCTCTTTAAAGCTCATGTATTAGCCCATGTATACTTTGAGAACTTAAGGTATGTGAGTACATTGAGGTTGTGCACTATTATGCTGTCACCACAGCTCGTATAAATGTCCCGAAGGACCTATCCAGAGGTCATAAAGAACCTCGGCAACTGTCCATAGATCCTGAAGAACCTAGGTAAATTGTCCATATGTTCTTTAGAACATAGGTATACTGTCCATATGTCCCGAAAGACATAGGTAATTCTATCCATATGTCCCGTAGAACATAGGTAAACCCTCGACTCTTGGCATGCCAACTATACCACTAGCTCTCATATTACATAACATAGACATTATCATTTATGTCAGTTCACATAATCACATCACTTATTCTTTCTCTTTTGTCACATATCACATGTATGTGTAACCATATGTTTCATATCATATCACATGTATCACGTATTGCATATTCATATGTCACATAGTTCATATCACTTTGTATGGAATCACATAGGTTGTTTCATATAGCTTATTTCATTTCTCCTTTGTTCATATACATTTGTCATATCTTATTCACATATTTTCATATATACATCACATAGCACATAGAATAACATATAAACTTATACATAAAGCATTTCCATGTGATTCATATATCACCTATCTCATTGCCTATATCTCTTAAGCACTTAATCACTTATCTCATAATTTCATATAGTCACATATCACTTATCAC